GAGGGGTTTCAAGAGGGTACAAAACTTTTGTCTGCTGGAAGGCATGGCTCTCGAAGTGTCAAAAAGGCTACTTAATTAGTGTTTTCAGTCTGGGAGTCCCAACCTAGCATTCTAGCAATGAAGACTAGACTCGTTACTAGAAAATGGCAGGAAGGTTGGCTGTTTTCTTAGATATGTCACTGTGCCCGTCAGCCCTCAAGCCTCAGGAAGAATAGAGACAGACAGTAGCACTGTTTACTCTAATTAGCACTTGGTAACATCACAGGTCTTTTGAAATTGAGGATATCTCCCCCAAATTGGGGTGAATATTGAGCAAAAGTGGCAGAGCACTACGAGGAATGCAGGGGACGTAACCAGGCTTATCACAGACAGTCCGTTGGCCTTTCCTTCCTGTTCTCTCTCAAGCAGCCTTTATATGGCCTAAAATACTGAATTTTTGTTGTTGTCTGGAGAAAATATTTTTAAAAATGTGTAGGAATCATGTTGGAAAGAAATGATCAGGTAATTTTGACTTCGGAACAGCAGCTGAACTGAGGAGCAAATCCCTGGGTTCCTGTGCCACGGCGGCAGAGCAGGGCCAGCTGGAGTCTGTGTGCACTTTCTCCCTCCGTAGCTACATTTTACTGTTGACAGAGTTCTGGATAATTCACCGGTGATTGTTATTTTTTACCCAGTGAACATGCAAGGTCTCTAATGCTGCCTTCTGTACCTTTAGTCTTTCACTGCTATGACTCAAGCACTTGGAGAAATGTCTACATGACTTGTCCAAAAACAACAGTAAAACTCTGTTTTGCCCTCATTTCCCTCTGGAACTGCCAACCAACTTGTGCCAATCCTTTGTTATGAAATATTTGGTTTCACCCATAGTTGGATTCAATCATGAGTTGCCTTTTTATGTGGAAGACAACACAATAAGACAGGTAACCGAAGTCAAAAACTCCTTAGAAAGAAAGGCTTCTGCCTCCGTTGAAACCACATTCAAGGGCCAGTTTCAGAGATAACATCTGTAAACAAGCTTTCATGGAGGAAAGATTTAGAAAGGGAACAAAGAACAGCTGGTTTGTATTTAAGACCTGTCTCACATTCGCAAGCCTTACGAAGAAGGCTTACTGTGGAGGTAAGTCTTGATTGCCTGGTCTACCCCGAGTGACCTCTGTGACCTTCTCACCACATGGGGTTTATGTGCCTACTACATTAGC